GATGGTGGAGGCTCTCGTAGCTGCCCAGCGAAGGCAAGAGGAGAGAAGGGAGTTACCGGGACCTCCTCCGCTAGCGCAGGTTGAGCCCCCGCCACAGCAGGCTGATCCCGTACCACCCCGGCAGGAGCCTGTTCCTCCACAGTACCAACCGGCACCACAGCCGCGGTACGACCCGGTACCACAGCCACAGTACCAGCAGGCGCCGCCACAGCGCTTTCCAGTGCCCCCACCACATCAGCAGGTTCCACCACAGGGTCCCCCAGTTCACCCTCAGCCCGTCCCAGTCCCTCTGCCCCGGGACCCTGCTCCTTCCTTGATCGACCCCGGCTTCATAGAGAGGTACAGGAGACTGAACCCTTCTACCTTCTCAGGGGGATCCTCGTTCGAAGAAGCCCAATACTGGCTGGCAGAGACTGAGAGAGCTTTCGAGACCTTGGGAGTAATTCCTGAGCAGAGGACTGTCATTGCCTCCTACATGCTGGTAGGGGAAGCGGTACGCTGGTGGGAGCTCAAGCGGGCCACCCTGCCTGTACCAGTTACTTGGGAGCAGTTCCTAGCGGCCTTTCATGTGGAGTATCTCCCTAAACACATCCAACATTTAAAGGAATTGGAATTTGCTCAATTGGTCCAGGGTAATATGACAGTGTCGGAGTATGCCCACAAGTTCCTGGAGCTGGGCCGACATGCCCCGGAGACATTGTTGGATGAGGGCCGAAAGGCCAGGAAATTCCAGTGGGGCCTCCGCCCGGCGATCAGACAGCACTTATTGGTGATGGAGCTCGAGACATATTCGGCAGTCCTGGCAAAGGCGCAGATCATAGAAAGGAGCTTCGACACCCGCCCTCAGTTAGCGGGAAGTTCCCGACCCTCAGCCCCGCTCCGCAGGCCAGCGCCTACCATGCCTGTCCAACCCAGTAAGAGGCCCAGGCCTGCCATTCAGGCCCCTCCTCAGGCTATGGGGGCAGCACGTGGGAAGATCTGCCAGTACTGCGGCAGGGATCATGGGGACCGACCCTGTTACCGCCTCAACAACACCTGTCGCATATGCGGCAGTGCCCAGCACTATGCGAGGGAGTGCCCTAGAAACCAGAATCAAGGGAGGCCTCCAATCCAGGGCAGAGTTTACAATCTTACCCAGAAGGATGCCGACGCAGACCCGGACGTGGTACATGGTAAACCCAAGAAAGAAGTTTGTAT